TACCAAATAAAACTTCATTTTGCCAACAGATTTATTTATAAATAAAATCATTTATGATATTTGTAAATACTTTTTTTCAATACCACACACATATTTTTTCAATAAATGTTTTATTCCGCTGATGAATATCATTGCAGTTTCAAATTTTGAAATTGCACTATTTTAACCCAAATCACAAGAAGGTTGAATTAGAATTAACGGTTTTTTGCCTGAACTTGAAAAATGTTATGTTTTTTGTGGTCCTTTTTAACTCTTGGTAAATAACAAAGGACGAAGCTTTTCCTTCTGTCTACAGCTGTGTGATTTTCTCAGCACAGTGACAGTGCAGCATAACTTTTCCCGAATCCAGGCAAAAAATGACACCAGAATCACGTTGTTTTTTGTGCTACACAAAACGCGGTTTACTTGACTCACGTTTCTACTAGTAAACAGATACCTGTTGTTCCAGAAACGCCGTATATCCAGCGCCATGGCTGATGACGCTGATAGTAGTAATGCTGCTAAAAACAAGCACACCGAAGAAACCGTGTCACCGGATGAACCACAGCACAAAAAGCTGAAAACTGACAATGCAAGCAGTTCATCGACAGCCTCTCCTGGTGGAGGTGATACTTCATCTTTCACAATAAATCATTTTTATATCGACAGTCTTCCGACTTTAAAAGAGCTTTATGAAGATAGTGAATCAGTTAAAGGAAAAGAAGAGGAAAACAAATTTGTTTGCGACAACTTCCAGGTTATTCGGGAACCCTTTCAAGTAGTACAGCTCAAAAATTTCATACAAGAAGATGACAATCTCAAGAAGTTGATGAAAGACATTTCTAAAACCGGTAAGTAGCATTTCATTTTATCATGTCAAATATAATATCTTGTTGGTTTTACAGATTTAAATCTCATAAACAACGACTTATATAGACTGAAGCAATCAAATGACTTGAGCAACTATTCAAAGTTTGCAAAAGTTTGCGATTTTTTTCAAAATGATGTTCGACCTTTTCTGCAGGATTTAACTGGCATCAATCTCAATTCAAAAGTTTCATTGACTATTAGTAGATATGACCAAAACGGTACTGTCATTGCTTAAAGTTGCGGCCCCTAGATCTTTTATTAACTTTTATTTTACAGATTATCTTTTGTGTCATGACGATCAACTCGAAAATCGAAAAATTGCATTCATTCTTTATCTGACAGAAAGTGATTGGTNCCCCTAGATCTTTTATTAACTTTTATTTTACAGATTATCTTTTGTGTCATGACGATCAACTCGAAAATCGAAAAATTGCATTCATTCTTTATCTGACAGAAAGTGATTGGTCAAATGAAGATGGAGGACAGCTTGAACTATTCAAATGTAGTTCATGTAAGTAATTTAATTTTTTGTTTGAACATTTTCTAAACTTTTATTTTTTAGCTGACAATCAGCCGCTAAAAGTAGTTAAACGATTGAATCCTGGATGGAATCTGTTTAACTTTTTCATCGTTCAACCGATCAGTTATCATCAAGTAAGCGAAGTGAGAACATCGAGAACTCCGCGATGGACAATTAATGGCTGGTTTCACACGGACGAAGTAAATGTGGTCCCGCGTAACTACACTTTTCCAGTCATATCACAGAAACGCTCTCCTTTTATAGTTGGCACTCAACACGCTGCTTCGTATGAATTTTTGAGATCCTGGATAAACCCTTACTACTTTGATGATAAAGTTGTTAGGGAAATTAAGCAAAGTTTTGTGGAAGAATCTCAAATTCAACTAATGAACTTTTTACGTCCTCAAAAATACTCTGCACTTGCAAGTGCTCTAAACAACTCTCGCCTGCTGAAATACTGGAAGGAAAACTATCATCCTGTTTTGTCAAAGTATCTGTACCTCCCTGAAGAGGTTCTGTTCTCCA